TAGCAAGTACTGGCAATGTTGAGGAGTCAAATCCTAAAAGCGAGGAGGAAATCACTCACCCGCCAGAAGACAGAACAGCAGTGCTCTCCAGAATTGGGAATGTGTCTATTAAAAATACTGCTTTCCTATGCCTGATAAGGACACCGCAGAACCATCAACAGTACCCACTGCATTAATAGCCACTTCAGGCTATCCGGAGGAGTCAAATCCAAAGAGCGAGGAGGTCACCACCAACTCGCTGGAAGACAGTTTAATGGATGAAAATGATTGAGGTTATCCAAATAAACCTCCATCGGAGCGAGACAGCTACCAACGCTCTGATGGCTAAAATTATCACAGGTAAAATACATATAGCTTTAATCCAGGAACCTTGGACGATTCGCAACAAGGTTTCTGGATTAAATCATGTAAATTTCCAACTTTTCTACGCTGATACAGGATCTCGCCCGAGAACATGTATCTTATGTCACAAGAACTTATGTTTTCTCCTCTCAACAGGATTATCAACATTGGATGCAACGGTGCTGAAGCAAGGTCGTGGCAACATATTCCTTGCATCTGTTTACCTGCCTTTCGATTCTCCGACACTACCATCAAAGTCGGATCTGATGAAACTGGTTGAAGAGGCACAAAGAAAAAATAAGAAAATTGTAATAGGTTGTGATGCCAACTCGCACCATGTAGCTTGGGGTAGTACAAACACCAATCGCAGGGGACAATCCCTCATGGATTTCCTTAATACTAAAGACTTGATAACATTGAACTTAGGTAATAAGGCTACCTTCGTCAATAGAATCAGAGAAGAAGTATTAGATATAACTATATGTTCAGAAGAGCTTATAAACGAAATTCAGGATTGGAGAGTTTCGGACGAGCACTCCTTTTCTGATCATCGGTACATAAGATTCAAAATACTAAGGCCACCACCAAAGCCGAAAAAGTTTCGGAATAAGTCTAAAACTAATTGGACAATGTTCGGGACCTTACTAAAGAACCGTTTAGGTCAGGACACTTTTCAAAGTCGAAATAAAGAGGATATAGATGCCAAAGTGGAAACGTTCACAAATGCCCTGGTTGAATCGTTTGAGGACAGCTGCCCTCTGCGAGAGCGGAGATCTGCCCAGGAAAAACCCTGGGTAACTGGCGAGATCCGGAACCTTGGGATGACTCTTCGCAAAGTATTTAACCGGGCACGGCGTAAAATACCGCAGTATACTGGGATGAGTATCGTAATAAACTTGGTGAATATAAGAAAATCGTTCGAAAAGCCAAACGAGACTCCTGGAAACTTTTCTGTGAACAGGTAGATAGCGTTAATGACGTATCGAAGATAAAAAATCCTATCCAAAACTCATGTCCAACTGGAATCTATGATCGATGACACGGGCAGGAGGCTTGAGGATATGGAGGAGACAATGAAACTCCTAATGGATTCTCATTTCCCACCCGGTATATCGAATAACATAGATGAACCGATATTGGAGGAAGGGGAGGGTAACACGGAAATAGTTATTACAACTGACATGGTTAAAGGGGCAATCAAGAGCTTTGCTCCCTATAAAGCTGCAGGTCCGGATGGAATTTTCCCGGCACTTTTGCAGATGGAGGCGGGACTGGTTCCGTACATCTGTCGCAGATATTCAGTGCATGCTTAAAATTGGCATATACCCCAGTTAAATGGCAAGATGCAAGGGTAATATTTATACCCAAACCAGGGAAACCTAGCTATGCGACACCTATGTCCTATCGACCGATAAGTCTTATGTCCTTTCTACTTAAAACCTTGGAACGGATAGTCGATAGCATGGTTAAAAGCAGCATACCATACAAAGACCTTAAATATAAGCAGCATGCTTATGTAAAGGGACGATCGGTGGAAACCGCTTTAAACGAAGTTGTCCACTACATAGGTGAATCTTTCGATAGCAAACTGTATACACTGGCGGTATGCATTGACATCGAAGGCGCTTTCAATAACGTGCACACTGATACCCTTATCCAATCCCTAGACCAGTTTTATGTTGACCGGGTGCTCCGTAACTGGATCAACTACATGCTAAGGAACAGATGGATAAGCTGCGAGATGTATGATATAACTATCAGAAAAGAGGTATTTCGCGGTATACCACAGGGTGGCATTTTGTCACCTTTACTCTGGGTTACCACGATTAATAGTCTCCTAAGGACCCTAACTGAGAAAGGACTTAGACCTGTCTGCTATGCAGACGATGTCGTAATACTTTTAAAGGGAAAGAATCCAAATTACTTGTGTAGAAGAGCTGAGGACGCTCTGAATACGGCCTTGAGCTGGGCTCAACCGAGAGGCCTCAATGTTAACCCGGCGAAGACGGAAATCTGTCTTTTCACAAGAAAGACAAAAATTTCTACGTATACTGAACCTTGCTTCCTGGGCAAGAAGATACCGGTGACAGACAAAGTTAAGTACTTAGGTGTAATACTTGACCGGAAATTAAAATGGAGACACCACATAGAGGATAGGATCAACAAGGCACATCGGTGCTGGGCGATATGTAGGAGAACCATAGGCATGAAATGGGGTCTTAGTCCTACAAATGACAAATTGGCTTTATAAAAGTGTAATTAGACCAATTCTAGCTTATGCTTCAATAATCTGGTGGACTGCTTTGGACAAAAAGTGTAATATCAAACTACTACAGGGAGTTCAGCGTACATGCTGCTTGGGTTTAAGTGGTGCCATGTGTACTACTTCAACCAAGCCTCTGGAAACGTTGCTAGATATTCCACCCATTGAAACATATATAAGATATGAGGCGGCGCTTACAGCCGAACGGCTCTTTACTTTAGGCGAGCTGGCCAAAAACGGTTATAGGACACGTCATCAATGTATACTGGACACATTGGAATGTTATACACATTCATCGGACGTGCCTGATCGCATACCAGACACTGAATATGAAACTTTGAAACGCTAATCCCTGATAGAATGTCTTGGTCAAGCGGAACATTAGAGCAAATACCAGTAGGAATCCGTTGCTACACGGATGGCTCGAAATTAGGGGACAAAGTGGGCCTGAGGTTCTATATTGAAGACCCAGAAACAGAAATATACCACCGTTTACCTAATCATAACACAAGCTTCCAGGCAGAAGTACGAGCAATAACGGAATGTGTAAATTGGATTAGAATAAATATGTTTGAAATGCATGAAAGGTGTAGGGGTTTGAGGGGTGTTGTGGTTTTGTTAAGTAAATTTTGTGTTATACATAGGTGGGAATATGTGTAGGTTTGAAATGCGAAAATGAAGGTCTAGGTGTTTGTGTGTTGTGGTTTTGTTAAGTAAATTTTGTGTTATGCATAGGTGGGAGTATGTGTGCGTTTGAAATGTCAAAATGAAGGTCTAGGTGTTTGTGTGTTGTGAGATGAAGTGTATGCTGGGTGTAGAGTGTGTGTGTGATGTTGGACGTCCATCTCTGCATCGCTGAAGGCATATAGTAGCATATAGGCGAAAGTGATTGTCAAAGACCTAAGTCCCCTGTCAAAAACCTAACTGGTGAGAATGTATTAGTAGAAGCACAAAAATAAGCACAGTTGTTCAAAAGATACTAAATAATAAATGTATTTCTGATACGTTATTTTTTGTATGTTATTACTGGGATTTAATATACTAGTGAATGAAAATAATAGTTAATTAATTTATTTCAGAAGATATTTCATCTTAAAACATATTATAAACACGTCTTTTTGTTATTTTTTTCTGCACTAATGGAAAAAGAAAAAAAGTATGTGAAATACTTTTTTCATTTTCAATACGAAAATTAACAACTTTTCTTTTTTCAGTTTTAATTAAAATGAAATGTCAAAGAATAAAAAATATTTTTTTTTCGTTTGTAAAATATAAATTATTTTCTGGGTTTTAAATACTATAAAAGTGTCGCAAAAAATAATAAATATTAAGTTTAATTGATAAGAAAAACTATTAAGTGCTAATATCCTCGCAATTTCGAAAATTTGAAGTTTTATGAGTGCGTTTAGTTCTCTGAAGTGTGTTTTATTCTCTCAGAACTTGTCTGTGTGAAGAGAATAACTAATTTTGTTTGACAACCCCTTAAGTTTCGCCTATATCCCTACTATATGGCTGAAGGTATTATTAAATTTGTGAGTGTAGTGCGTTTTCCATCCATGTGATTTGTTAAAGTGCAATAAAATTATTTGCGATTTTATTAATGCATGCAGTAAAATTTTTGTGGTTTTTAATAGTTGGATGTGGTAATATAATTTTTTTGTAGTTTTTAAGAATTGGTTCACACACTTTGACTTTTGATTATGAGTGCCTAACACAAATGGAAAATTTGTCTCCCTGCTAAAAATTGTTTGTATGTACTTTAAACATTATTACATATGTATATATTACTATAAAAAATAAATACATTGGTGAAATGCAAAAATATTTTTCCTCATAATTATTGTTTGTATGTACTTTTAGCATTATTACATTGCATACATACTTATTATTATACAACATAAATACATTGGGTAAATGCAAAACAATTTTTCCTCATAATTAATCGCAAATAATTGTCTACCTGTTAAACATTTTTTGTATGGACTTTTAACATAACTACATACATATGTATGTATTATACAAAATAAATATATTGGTGTCAATTTTCACTAAAAATAATTTCTTCCCATTCTGCAAGTTTGCAATTTTACAAAAAATAATTTTTCCCTTCTGCAAGTTTGGAATTTTACAATTTTATAAAAAAATATTTACAAAAAATAATTTCTTCTTCATTGAAAACAAACCAAATAAATGTCTGTCATTAAAAAGTGTGCCGGAACCGCTATAAACATACTACTGACATATCTGGTTTGTTGGAATTATTATATTTTTTACCATACTTTGCCTTAAATGCTTCATTTGTAGGAACATCAGAACTTTCTTGCAATTCTAAAAGTCTTGACCTTAGGGTTTTTAATGTTGGGAACTCATTTGTTGTGTTAAAGGCAGCTTTCACTTATTTATAATCACTGGATAATCCGTCTAACAAAATGATGACTTGTAATTCTTCTTCAATTTTGCCATTCATTTCTTCCAATTGCATATAAAGTTCATCAAAATCTTCAATATATTTTGAGATAGTTTGTCCAGCATTCATTTTATGATTCAATAGTTTTCTATATATTTCTGCCTTTTGTCGTTTTGATCGTTTTTCATAAGTTTCTCTTAAGAAATCCCAGATCTGTTCGAAAGATTTCAAATTTCTTACAAGCAATAAAATTTTTGGTGCTAAAGCAATCAGGATATCGGCTCTTGCATCCTGATCCTTTTCAATCCATTGCTCTCTTAAATGTGGTTCAGCTGGAATAGCCAATTCTCCCTTGACTATCTGCAGTAGTCTGCTTTTGTGCAATAAAGCCGGCATTTGGGTCTTCCATGTTGAATAGTTAGACCCAGCAAATATTGGAATTTTACTTGAATATTATATTCCCCGCGGACCAAAAAACTGGAAAAAACAAATATGGAAAATAAAAATAAAAAGATCAAAGTTACGGTGCAGGGCCTAAATAACCCAGTACCGGCGGCAAGTATTGATCCACTCGCGAGTCACGTGTCGTCGTCATCCTGCAATCGTGAGCAAAATACTACTACGGAGGTGGGTACCTTGGCCTCCGTGGCGGACAATGCGTCAAGTGTACAGCATGCCACTGGCAAAAATATAGGGGTGAAAGAGAAGGATGTACTCGGAGAGAGTTCTAAGCTACCTCAGCCTTTAAATATAGGTGAGGGTTCCGACTCTGAATCCTCAGATGATAATAATAATACCATTATAGCAAATCCCAAAAAGGATGAAGTAGAGCAAATGGTGAAAGAGGTGAGTGATAGCATAGCTAAACTACCTATTACTAAGAAAAGACTTTCTGGAGCACAGAGGAGGAAGTTCATGAATACATAGTTAGTCAATCCCACGACACTCCAAAGGAAAAATCGGACTCTCTCACAAGATCTGAGGCAAAAAGGATCAGGTCTCCCGAGGAGTTGACAACTGAGAATAAACCTAAGATGAAAAAGAGCTCCCCGTCTTCTAATACACAGTCGAAGCCAAGCCATACTTCACTCAAAGGAATCTCAAGTGAGAATCATGTGAGTAAGGGTGACAACGCCAAGCCAGATATTCCGAAGACGAACACGTCGGCGAACTCAACCTCGAAGGTAAGGGAATCTCAAAAGAAGCCCCGAAAAACGAGGAAGGAGAAGCTAGACGGAGGAAAAGAGCCGCCATCTTACGCCAAAGTTGCCAGAAGTAGGCACCGGGACGATCTCTGCTATGCAGTTTACGATGCCGGTATTCCGACAGGCAAAATTCCAATAGACCAACAGAGTAAAATAGAAGACCTGGTCAACAATAAGATAGTGGACCACGCAATCGCTTCAAAGGGCAAACAACCAATAGAGAGCGAGAGCTGCGAGTTCAGCATGGGCGTGATGTTGATGAGGTTGGCATCTCACCAATGTGTTAGCACCCTAAAGGACTTGGTGGAAAGTATCCCTCCTCCCTGGGACGGCGCTAGGCTGGAACTGGCAAGGAAGAGCGAGTTTCCGGTGCTCTTAAAGTCCACTGTCTACATAAAAGGATGGGACAGTAAAATCGGATGTCTTTTACAGGAAAGAAGAACCTGAGGGAACTTTATTTTTAATAGGTATCGACAAGAAATCCATGGCTAGTCTTGCCAAGAATAAAGGTAGGGCTTACTTCGCCTCTAAAGCTGTCATATTCAAAATTGGGAAGGTGCCGATTGGAAGGGCTGTTACAACAAGCCTCGTAAAGGACACTAAAAAACCTAAGATCACAGCATCAGTATCCACTATTGATAACGTTGAGGAGTCAAATCCTAAAATCGAGGAATTTACCATTAACTCGCCAGAAGAAAGTGTAGTTGCCCTTTCCAAAATTGGGAATGCGCCGATTAAAAGGGCTGTCAAAACCGGCCCCGTCAAGGACACTAAAACACCTAAGACAGTACCCAAAGCATCATTAGCAAGTACTGGCAATGTTGAGGAGTCAAATCCTCAAAGCGTGGAGGAAATCACTCACCCGCCAGAAGACAGAACAGCAGTGCTCTCCAGAATTGGGAATGTGTCTATTAAAAATACTGCTTTCCTATGCCTGATAAGGACACCGCAGAACCATCAACAGTACCCACTGCATTAATAGCCACTTCAGGCTATCCGGAGGAGTCAAATCCAAAGAGCGAGGAGGTCACCACCAACTCGCTGGAAGACAGTTTAATGGATGAAAATGATTGAGGTTATCCAAATAAACCTCCATCGGAGCGAGACAGCTACCAACGCTCTGATGGCTAAAATTAACACAGGTAAAATACATATAGCTTTAATCCAGGAACCTTGGACGATTCGCAACAAGGTTTCTGGATTAAATCATGTAAATTTCCAACTTTTCTACGCTGATACAGGATCTCGCCCGAGAACATGTATCTTATGTCACAAGAACTTATGTTTTCTCCTCTCAACAGGATTATCAACATTGGATGCAACGGTGCTGAAGCAAGGTCGTGGCAACATATTCCTTGCATCTGTTTACCTGCCTTTCGATTCTCCGACACTACCATCAAAGTCGGATCTGATGAAACTGGTTGAAGAGGCACAAAGAAAAAATAAGAAAATTGTAATAGGTTGTGATGCCAACTCGCACCATGTAGCTTGGGGTAGTACAAACACCAATCGCAGGGGACAATCCCTCATGGATTTCCTTAATACTAAAGACTTGATAACATTGAACTTAGGTAATAAGGCTACCTTCGTCAATAGAATCAGAGAAGAAGTATTAGATATAACTATATGTTCAGAAGAGCTTATAAACGAAATTGAGGATTGGAGAGTTTCGGACGAGCACTCCTTTTCTGATCATCGGTACATAAGATTCAAAATACTAAGGCCACCACCAAAGCCGATAAAGTTTCGGAATAAGTCTAAAACTAATTGGACAATGTTCGGGACCTTACTAAAGAACCGTTTAGGTCAGGACACTTTTCAAAGTCGAAATAAAGAGGATATAGATGCCAAAGTGGAAACGTTCACAAATGCCCTGGTTGAATCGTTTGAGGACAGCTGCCCTCTGCGAGAGCGGAGATCTGCCCAGGAAAAACCCTGGGTAACTGGCGAGATCCGGAACCTTGGGATGACTCTTCGCAAAGTATTTAACCGGGCACGGCGTAAAATACCGCAGTATACTGGGATGAGTATCGTAATAAACTTGGTGAATATAAGAAAATCGTTCGAAAAGCCAAACGAGACTCCTGGAAACTTTTCTGTGAACAGGTAGATAGCGTTAATGACGTATCGAAGATAAAAAATCCTATCCAAAACTCATGTCCAACTGGAATCTATGATCGATGACACGGGCAGGAGGCTTGAGGATATGGAGGAGACAATGAAACTCCTAATGGATTCTCATTTCCCACCCGGTATATCGAATAACATAGATGAACCGATATTGGAGGAAGGGGAGGGTAACACGGAAATAGTTATTACAACTGACATGGTTAAAGGGGCAATCAAGAGCTTTGCTCCCTATAAAGCTGCAGGTCCGGATGGAATTTTCCCGGCACTTTTGCAGATGGAGGCGGGACTGGTTCCGTACATCTGTCGCAGATATTCAGTGCATGCTTAAAATTGGCATATACCCCAGTTAAATGGCAAGATGCAAGGGTAATATTTATACCCAAACCAGGGAAACCTAGCTATGCGACACCTATGTCCTATCGACCGATAAGTCTTATGTCCTTTCTACTTAAAACCTTGGAACGGATAGTCGATAGCATGGTTAAAAGCAGCATACCATACAAAGACCTTAAATATAAGCAGCATGCTTATGTAAAGGGACGATCGGTGGAAACCGCTTTAAACGAAGTTGTCCACTACATAGGTGAATCTTTCGATAGCAAACTGTATACACTGGCGGTATGCATTGACATCGAAGGCGCTTTCAATAACGTGCACACTGATACCCTTATCCAATCCCTATGTTGACCAGGGTGCTCCGTAACTGGATCAACTACATGCTAAGGAACAGATGGATAAGCTGCGAGATGTATGATATAACTATCAGAAAAGAGGTATTTCGCGGTATACCACAGGGTGGCATTTTGTCACCTTTACTCTGGGTTACCACGATTAATAGTCTCCTAAGGACCCTAACTGAGAAAGGACTTAGACCTGTCTGCTATGCAGACGATGTCGTAATACTTTTAAAGGGAAAGAATCCAAATTACTTGTGTAGAAGAGCTGAGGACGCTCTGAATACGGCCTTGAGCTGGGCTCAACCGAGAGGCCTCAATGTTAACCCGGCGAAGACGGAAATCTGTCTTTTCACAAGAAAGACAAAAATTTCTACGTATACTGAACCTTGCTTCCTGGGCAAGAAGATACCGGTGACAGACAAAGTTAAGTACTTAGGTGTAATACTTGACCGGAAATTAAAATGGAGACACCACATAGAGGATAGGATCAACAAGGCACATCGGTGCTGGGCGATATGTAGGAGAACCATAGGCATGAAATGGGGTCTTAGTCCTACAAATGACAAATTGGCTTTATAAAAGTGTAATTAGACCAATTCTAGCTTATGCTTCAATAATCTGGTGGACTGCTTTGGACAAAAAGTGTAATATCAAACTACTACAGGGAGTTCAGCGTACATGCTGCTTGGGTTTAAGTGGTGCCATGTGTACTACTTCAACCAAGCCTCTGGAAACGTTGCTAGATATTCCACCCATTGAAACATATATAAGATATGAGGCGGCGCTTACAGCCGAACGGCTCTTTACTTTAGGCGAGCTGGCCAAAAACGGTTATAGGACACGTCATCAATGTATACTGGACACATTGGAATGTTATACACATTCATCGGACGTGCCTGATCGCATACCAGACACTGAATATGAAACTTTGAAACGCTAATCCCTGATAGAATGTCTTGGTCAAGCGGAACATTAGAGCAAATACCAGTAGGAATCCGTTGCTACACGGATGGCTCGAAATTAGGGGACAAAGTGGGCCTGAGGTTCTATATTGAAGACCCAGAAACAGAAATATACCACCGTTTACCTAATCATAACACAAGCTTCCAGGCAGAAGTACGAGCAATAACGGAATGTGTAAATTGGATTAGAATAAATATGGCGCCCACAGGGCTTAATATATTTACCGACAGCCAGAAGGCAATTAGGGCGATATCAGGCGATAGAACTAAATCTAAGACCGTATTGGATTGTAAGAAAGCTTTAACTGAATACTCTCCCAGAGGTAAGGTTCACATCATATGGGTACCAGGCCACTCGGGAGTAGTCGGCAACGAAAGGGCGAATGTAATAGCTTTAAAGGGAAGGGAGCTAGATGTAGTTA